TTTTTACACACATAAAAATAAACAAAAACATTTTTTGCATATTTATAATATATTGCATTTATATTTAATTGTTTATTTAAATATTGTTTATTTATCATTTGAGTAAAGAAATTCAATTTGGTTGTAATAATTTAGGGTTTTAATTTCTTGCAAAATAATCCCCTATTAAAAATTGTACCCCCCCTCCCCATATCAATGTTGTAATAACCTAGATTACTTTTACGCATTTATGCTTTCAAATATGCCATGATAGAGATTAGGGTTTGTATGCAATATCCAAAATCAAAACAAATAGTTAGACCTAATACAAGACATAAATGCATGAAAATGACAACACAATGCACACATGTACCCCTAGGGTTTCATCCACTTGTTGCCTTTAAAATGGCCATGTTATGCATGTTGAGTATCTTGACAAAACAAAAACAAAACAAAAGATCATAGTCCCTCGATGACGCTATCTTGGTTGCCTATACAAAATAATCTAGTCCCTCAAAAAATTGCTAAAGATACTTAGCACTATTGCTATCATGGTCAATACGATGACCCGCGCCTGTCTCGTTTAACATCCAAATACAAAGTTGTTTACCAAATGCAATGGTAAAACAACAATGTAAAAGGGTTAAAAATGTGTAGGAAAGATCTTTGAGTAGATAGGGTAGACAACTCTTAGTTACTTGATCAAAACTTGTAAAAACATCCTTGCTATTTTCAAAAACACATCACAATTTTAAAAGATTTCCCAAAAACAAACTTTCAAACATTGAAACATCTTTTCAAAAGACAATACACCTTTGTATACATTCAAGCAAGAATTATTACAAAGGTTGCCACAACGATGGCCTCTTTTCAAAACATTTTCAAAACCACACACAAAGCACCATTTCAAACAATTGAAAAGCAAAAGCAAGTAATCTAAACAAGTAACTAAGAGACCATGGAAAACCATGGATGAAAAGGGTGCTAGCACCTTCCCTTTTCATAATCTACCCCCCGAACCCAAGAAAACATCTCAAAGGTCTTTCCTGTGCTTTTTGACCTTTCCTTTGGATAAAATAAAAAGTCGGTGGCGACTCTTGCTAAACCGAAACATTTGCAAACACAAACGCAAAACCTCAAGTCAGTTCTCCCACCGTATCATAATATGACACAAATAACACATCATCTTTTTCTTTCTTTTGTTTGGTAGCAACCCCATGAACTTACAATACTGATGATGTTGCTTCCAAATCATTTTCAACTTGATTTTATTGAACAAGGCATAAATGACATCCAACACTTTGTCAATTTCTTGTATTTCATCTGCCTTGTTATGAAAATAGTTTTTAGGAGGATTCTTTTGTTGAAGATTTTTCTGATTGGATGTCCATGTCCACACTCCATACAACACTCAGACACTTGGTTAGTAGAAAAGTATAGAAGAATTCACGAAGCAAACATAATCTGACCCCTTTTTTTATATATTTTTTTGTATAATAAAATAAAATGCAATTTAAAAAAAAACTGAAACAAAATTTTAGATGACGAACAACAAAATTTCAATTGAACTAAAATTGAACTCTATAATTTGGCAGTCCCCGGCAAAGGCACCAAAAATTTGATAGGAAAAATAACAAGTGTACTATTTTTTCCGTGCAGTAATAATGGGAAATTCCCAAGATATTGATCTTAAGGATTGCTTGCAATTAATGAGTTAAATTCGTAGTTTAATTAAATAAAAACTTAATTTGGGGGATTTGGTTTTGATATTGTCACTTAACAAAAAGCAGAAATATAAAATGGCTTTTTAACATATATGAGGAGCATGTTAGGGTAAGGTGTATAATTTTCCATGTAACTATCTTGAACTCTAATCTCTTTAACAAGTTCATATCCTGCAATTACCAGCCCTTTTGATTATCTTTCCCCAAGTCCTTAGTGGAAAAACCTTTAACCATCCATCCTACATCCTAAGTCCTTAGAGATATCTGATGGGGTCAAGCCTTTTTTTTTTATCAAGGGTTAACTTCGGTAACTATAGGGTATCCCTAGTCCTAGGTGATATCTACTATAGTCTAATTGTACAAGAACCTTAACAATCGCAGTCCAGATGGTTGTTAACCGTAAATAAATCCTAATTTGTCCAATCAGGAAGGCATAAAAACATTGTACAAATAAATCGAATAAAGAAGACTTTATTAAAGAACTCAGGAATTCATAATCATTACAGATTCAAATTAGGGTCACCCGTAGCATTGGGGAATTTAGCTACTCATACTATTCAAAGAAAACAAAAGATAAATTGTAAACATTACAAGTATTTGGGAGAAATTTGATCTTCAATCCTTTCTGTTCATGAAAATATCCTTCCACCGAAACCCTTGTCTTCTCCAATATTATCTCGTCGTGTAAACTATCCTTTTTTTCTCTCCAAAACAAAGTCTTATAAACCAAATAAGGGTTTTCACTCCTAACTCAAACTGGGTCGAAAACATAAATCAGGCCCGTAAAACGACTTGAAACAACTAAATTTCTAAAGTCTGCAACTTTAATGAACTTTTCAAGGCTTCTACAGTCTTGATCAACTTCTGACAAAAACATGAAAGTTGTAGCTCTATCTCTCAGCTTTTCAACAAATATTAGAATGCATTGATCCGATTATCGTAGCTCTAATTATGATTTTTTTAGTGAAAACTGATCAATCAGCACATTGGCTGACACGGCCCGTGTCAGGTGACATGAGTGACAGTGTCAGGTGACACGAGTAGCTGTGTAAGGCCTCCTAAAGCGTGCTGTAAACTTTTTCTAAACTCTAAAATTTTCACTTTTTTGCACTGATTTGTCTTGATTTATTCCTGTGAACTTGAAAACACTAAGACACATAACTAAAGCATAAAATGCGGTAAAATGAAATAAAACATCTGACAATCAAAATAAAAGATAACTATAATTAATGGTACATAACCGTGTAAAAACAACTGATCAGGTGTCAGTCCTACGAGGAGGATGCTCGCGAAGACCTTCTGATCGTCGTTGGTCCTTCTCGCCAGTCGTGAGAAAGTGTGGCAAAATGGGCCCTGCCCGTTGGACATGCCCGTTTTACCCGCACTTTAGTGCAGAGAGGGCCAAGAATTTAGGCCCTCACCCTCTAATGTGACCATCCCGCCCCGCCCCGTTTTCTTCGCGGGCTTTTGTGGGCATGATTATTAGCATAAAATTTTGCATTTTTTGGCCTAAAGGTGCAGTGCCCGCGAGCTTTCTCTGTCTCACACTTACTTTTTTACAGTGCGGGCCTAGGTTTTAGGTCCTCATCCTCAACTATGCCCGCTCTGACCCGCCCCGTTTTTTTGCGGGACGAGCCTAAATGGGGCGGGCATGCACGTTTGCCACCCTTAGTCGTGAGATTGTCCCCGGAGGACATATCCTGGTCGACAAGAGGAGTGGAAGATGCACGCGAGGAACTCCTGAGCGTCACTGGCCCTCCTCGCCAGTCATGGGGTTATCCCCGGAGGATAAAGCCTGGTCGATCAGGAGAGTATAATCACTGTCCGACATGGTCAAGGGCGAACTCTCCTGTTGGTTTTCTCATGCAGCATAGTTGGATTAGGCCTTGTATGATGTTTGGGCCAAGTGCAGGCCTAGTCTAGAACAAGTTTGTTGTTGATGAATGTTGTTGTTAATATTAATGATCTATGTATTGTTGTTGATATTGTTGTTTATATGAGTTTATTATATCTTATGTGGTTTGCTTGTTTTTCCAACACCTTACTAAATATATAATTTTTCGGATTGCATTAGAAAATTATAATATGATAGATAACATTATATTTAAAAACAAGTTACACGTTCAATTCTAGACAAGAATATTTTAATCTGTTATCTGCATTTTATTTTTTAATAGTGAGAACTTGATTTATGCTTCTTATTTTTCAACCTCCCATTCTTTTACATTTAATTTAGTTTGCAATAAATAATATGTTGCAAAAAAAATTAAGGTGAATGAAGGGGGTTGAAGAAATAGGAGCATCAAAACCAAGTTCTCACTATTAGAGGACAAATGCGGATAAGGAGCTGAATAATTCTTGTCTAACATGAACGTCTAATTTGTTCTTCTAATATAACTTTATTTATCATATTATAATGTTCTAGATCAGAATGAAAATTATATGTTTAGTGAGCATTAACGAAATTAACATTCCATATAATTTCTAATAAACTCATTGTATATACCACAACGGTTGGTTAGAAAAATCGTTGTTAATTTTTTTTCTTAAAATTATATCACAACGGTTGTTTGGATTAACTGTTGTGATAGATAACACGCTACATGACATATCATCACGGTCACACGTCTGTGGTAGAAACATCATACATACAATTATTTCTTATCTCACAACGATTGATCATCCGTTATAGTATATCCATTTTCCAACCGCTATGATATTCTTTTCCGTAATAATACTATTTATAACTTATTCTACACTTCTATATAATTTTAATAACACACAACAATTATTTCATTACTCGAGCTATTACAAAGGATTTTAAAATACATCCCCATCCTAAAGTCAATACTCTAGCAATTATTTTGCTTAGCAATGAATACAAGAAACTACTAGATTTCATTCCTTAATTTATTTGCTTCCCTATGTCACGATTAGAGACAGGAGTACGTGCTACGCAAACTTATATATAAAAACCATTAAAGAAAACAACTTAAGAGAGAAGCGAATTACAAAACAAGACACATATTTGTCATACTGAGTGCGACTTAAAAAAGATTCCCTCTTTATATTCATGAATCGAATCTCTTGCAAGGAGTTTCTTTTATTTGTTTATTTCACTAGTCTAGTAGTAAAAAGTTTTGCCAAAACAAAATTATTTTCATCATCATTATTATTTATTATAATGATAATGATGATTATGATTTATTACCAATATCACGTGAGTGTGTGCGTGTAAACAGAGGACTTAGTGTTAAAACTTGCAAATGCATGTGACTCTATAGTATTGGATTAACTTCAATATGTCCACTCTTGTGGCAGAATCATATCATCTTGGACATCTTTTGCTGCTTTTGTTGACTGTTGGTTCTCTAGTGAATACATACCTTCCTTATCACTCACAACAAGATCTGAAAAATCATAACAATATAACAATGTTATATATCAAATTCATATCATAAAAATATATTTAATAAAAAATATTTTATGTACACTTATTTTTTACATTCACGTGATATCGGATTAATCATGTAAAAATACTATTAATTTAATTCACATTGAAAAATATGATAAACTCATATAATTGAGTTAACGATATTTTAAACTGAATTAACAATATTTTTACACATGATTAACTAGATATCGAGGAAGTGTTCTTATAAATTTATAATAATAATAATAATGTAATATAATACCTGTTAGTGGAGGGAATCCAACAACTTTGGGTCCTCCAGGTATAGCAGCGGTTTTGTCAAAGTGTTGTTGCAAAGCTTGCACAACTCTTGCTGGTATAAGGACAGTGGAGCAACCTTTCCCTACCCATAAAACATGCACTAAACAAATCAACTTTGGTGTAAGATGTGAAATCAACTTAATAATATTTTTTGACATAAAGTATATATTAATTAAGGGTACATCAACAAATCTTCAATTTTTCTCACCAAACTCTCTAACTACTTCACCTTTTATAATTAATTTTTTTAAAAAAGTGTGCATATGATAGAGAAAAATCAAGTTGAAACATCTTAAAAGCTAAGGTAGTAGTAATATTTATCATAATTTAGTTTTGTTTTGGGAACAAGAAATATCCTAGAAAAGGAAAAAACAAGTTTTAGCTAAAAACAGAGTTACATAGACAAGAAATCATAAATTGATTCGAATGTTAATAGTGGGAAAGTAGATTCAGCAACCAACCATTACCAACCAAAACCAACTACTGAAAAACATGAACCAAATTTACCATAATAACACAAAACATAACATAATCCTCAAAAATAAACATTACCTTTCTTTTTGTTTGATTCCGATGGAGCAACGGTTCCGGAACGAGGCAAGAAAACACCGGTCCCGTTTCTCGAACCGGGTCCGCCAATAAAAACCGCTCGCATACCGGTCTGCAATGGAGTCGGTCTAGGTGGACGAGGACGAACCCGGTTCAGTACTCCATTCTCTTTCTTCTCACTACGAATCTCTTTTTCATGTTGTTTACTTACTTCAATAGCTTTGATTTGTTCCTGAATCAATGCCTGGTGCGACGAAATCGAATTCATAGAACTACTATTATTCTCAAACACATCAACGACATGATCGTAGGTTGTTGTTCTTGTTGTTTTCCAACACGGTGTAGGTGGTGGTGATGGTTCCTGAGATGATGATGACCCTTCAGAGCTTCCATGGTTATAACTCACTGGTGACCAGAGAGTTGAATTTGGTGAAACCGTTAAGTCCCATGGCTTCATGAAACCGAGTGACTCGTTATCTTCTTGAAGAATGAAGTGAGACATGTGGTGAGTTAACTCAGTGATGAAATCGTCTTCTTTATCTTCTTCACTTGGAATTATAACATGGGTGGAATCGAGTGCTCCAACAGCCATAACAACGTTAATTGTTATATTAACGTTGTAATGATTTGCAAACAGTTTTTGGTAGTGTAGTAGTATTATTAAGGTAAGGTAGATGAAGAAATAAAAATGAAGGAGAATAATTAATGAGAGAGTAATAATATTTGTATTTAAGGAGACACAAGTGAGACGTGATGGGAGGTTCTAATTTTCAATTTAGTGGTGAGAGTTCGGTTTGGTAGTTAGATTGGAGGAGGAGTGGAGAAAGACAAGTACAAGTCAGCTGTCATTTGTTGGACTTGGGACAGAGTTTGCTTGCACCTCCTTAAACATTATTTTATTTTATTTTATTTTATTAGTAGTAGTATAGTTTAAGCAATTCGTTTTCTTTCGTGGGTGCATGTGGTGTGGACTGTGGAATTATATTAATATTTTAGTTCTAAGAGTTATCTATGTTTTTCTCAACCATGAAGAAATCATATATGTCATTGCATTGTAGAAAGATAGCTCTAAAGTTAAGTACTCGTAAAAAAGTATTGATTGGCCTTTTTACTTGATAAAGCTATGGTTATCTACTCAATTGATAAAATTATATGAATTTTAAGATAAGAAAGTTAATTATTGTTAAATCAAGTTTTCTTTAAAGTGAAGTAAGTTTTAGTGCTTTATCAAAAATTGTATTGGATAGATTTTTTTTTTTTTTTACGTAGATGAAGAGAAATATGTTAACTAAAATATAAATAGGAATGTGTTAGTTAGTTCAGTGGTGATTGACGCTGGATTTGAAAGAAAGGATCATGGTTTAATCCCCCGTAATCTCAATCAAGAGATGACTAGAACTATTTGATATCAGAACTGACCCTCGAAGTTAATAAGGTGAGACCGAACAATTATGTATATCTAGGTTATTGGCTAGCTTGTGATTTTTTATGTATTGTTGTTTTGTTCGCTACTCACCTTTCCTTTCATGGGAGGTTCCCTTTTATACTTTAACCCTCATGACCTGCATTTATTGAGTAGCGACCTTCTAACTCCAACAATCAATAGGAATTTCTAACTCTCGTTGTCGTAATCATGAGATATAATGTCCACTCTAGAACAACCGGGTGAAAATCATCGGAAATCAATGAAGTCGCCATCGAACGTTTTTTATCCCGCGAAGGGGAAAGGTGAACATCGAGTAATAAGAATGTGAAATCACAGTCTTGCGACCATAGAGCGGGTAAGAGAGTCGATTACACGAGGGGAAGGTATTAACATCCCACACGTCTGCAGTACTCTATGGTATCCACTCTTGTTATTCTAATCAAAGAGTGTGTTCAAATCTAAGACTACGAGCTAATAAGAGAAATGAAAAAGGGAGAATGCATGCAAAAGAAAAACACAGGGAAAAGAAGGAATATTTACAAATTTTCGCTCGCCTGAGCCCCGTGACCAGATGTCTACGTATCCTTTTTAAGGAAATAGAGCGTCGTAGCTGATAAGTGTAAATTGTAGTTATTTTTGTATATACTTTTTGTTGCACTTATCGACTCTTTGTTGTTAATAACCATTGAATAAACTTAATTTTTGTGTAAATACATTTAGTTTGTGTTTATTTGTGTTTTGTGTACATAGTGTACCGTTTGTTATTTTTTCATTCATTTTGTAGTTATTTTTTGTATTTTAGAGCATCGAGGAATAAGGTGTCGAAGACAGGACTTCGGATGCATGTTTTCAGAATAAAAGACCAGTTTTGAGATGTTTTATCGAGGAGAGGCCGCTTAGCACACAAAAGGCTGTTAAGCGCGAGTGCGCTCAATGCATTTTGTAGTGCGCTTCTTACATTTTGGCAGAAGCATTATTTTGGAGTCCGCTTAGCGCGGATATCGCGCCTATCGCGGTTTAGGTCGGTTTAATATGTAAATATCGTACAGCTCGCTTAGCGCGGTGAGCCCGCTAAGCGCGGTCTTCTGAGATTTGTTTTATAACTTCATTTTTAGTTCATTTTTTATTATGGTTTTGAGGAAGTTTTTGCTCCCAACTCCATCAACCTCCAATTTTGTTAGGATTAACTTAGATAACAACTATGGAGCTTGCATACAGATGATCCAGGGTGGATTGCTCTTTGATCGACGCTGACAAACTGGTAGATTTGCGGTTCATTTCTCTTTTTCTTTGTGTATTCTCTATTGGTTGGGTTTGTATATGTATTTTCTTTGAACTCGTGTATATTTGTCGCCCTTGGTGTTATATAAAACTTGCTTTACAAATCTTTGTCGATTGTTATCCTTAATTTTTGCTATGTGCTAGGGATTTGAGTTGCTATAGACATATACTGCTTAGATTCTTATCTAGGATGGTTATATAATAATGTCTGAATTCTAGAGATAGATTTAACACTATTATTCATTAAGGTGTCTGTGATTAATGCCTCTGTGTTGTTTGTGTCGCTCTGAGAGATCGTCAATGCAAGCGAGTATGGTTGACTTTGTGTTATTGAGGTGGTTGAGAAATCATCATTAAGGTGATACAGTGGGTGTTGTGTTTGAAACGCGATGACATTGATGAATATTGTAGATTTAGTATAACAGGTCGATAGGTTTAAGTCTGTGAGAAGTAGTATATACGCATGCTTGATAAGTTATTCCTTTTTCCTTTTTATAGATTTATTTTCTGTTTATACATTTACTTTTAACCCATTTAACCTAAAACTCATTAACGAGAGATTTGTCGAATGACATTTCAATACACCAATCTCTATGGACACGATACCATATAACCTAAATATCACTCAGTAAATTAATAACTTACTTTTTGCTTGCCGCTTTACTACATCCAGGAAAATGCACCGTTGCCGGAGATTGGTGTTTATTGTTTCGCATTGCGATGATTTCTTTGTTTTTGAGTTTTGTAATTAATGCAGATGTTGTATAGAATGTGTACATACACTTGTCTATTTTTACTTGTACATGTTTTGTGTTTACTTTCCATACTTGTGCATATATGTGTTTTTCTTTGTTTTCACGTATTGTTGTGAATTGTCTCGTTTTTGTAACGTTTGTTGTGTAGTTCTTAGGAAACTTTCTTTAGGTTTACAAGGCGTGACAATACCATGGCATGATGAGAGGAGGTTACTAACTCGCACAATAAAGGCATCAAGCTTATGACGTAAAACAAGCATGTTTTGTTTATATTCGTTTATGTATGTGTTGACTTGTGTTTTAACAAGTTGAAATTGGACTTGTTTTAAATTTCAACTTGTTAATTCACTTTTAACCGTTTGTTTTGTTATGTCAATTTGTGTTTTTCTGCAAGCTTGTCGTATTTAGCTTGAGGAAGTTTATATGTTGTTAATATTGTATGTTTGAGGTTGTGTAGGTGTAAGTGGAGCTTGCATAGCAGCTGCACCAACTGCCCTATTTTTCTGCAATGGGTGTAGCACGCTTAGCACACTCTATGCTGCTTAGCACGTCGTATTGTGCATAACCAGTGAATTCTTTTTAATTTTTCGTTTGTCTCTCCTTTTTCCCACTTCACCCAAGGCTTTATAGTATAGTAATTAATAGTAATATTTTAATTCTTTCTTTTGTTGTTCGGACTCAAATTTTAGTTAGATAGCTTGAAGTCATATTTGGTGATTTTTCGATTTTGAGTGTGTCAAGTTGCGGATGTATGGTAATGATAGTTTTTGAAGTTAGTACTCGCCGGGTACTCGTTTATCGCTTTCTATAACATAACATGTTTAAGAAACTTTTCATTTGTACAATTACCATGTCATTTATTCTTTTTGCATTACATGCTCATGACTTGAATCACTTTAGTTCCCTTTTTACCCATAAATGTGATGAAGCTTTCCATTGTTCGCATATGCTGGAGGCCACAATTCTTGTTTTAACTGGATTTATTATGTTTAATTTTGTTTGTGTTGATTGTATAAAAGCATGAACATGATCAAGGCATTTTCTGTTTGATTTTGAGCACAACTACCTTGGCCAAATAGTCAATTCACCTTGTGAGTGTGTGATCATTAGTAACCCCTTTTGACTTTTTTGTCGATGTCCATGTTCTTTTTTCTAAATGGTTGCCTATGAGTGTTTAGTTTATCTTTTTGTATGAACATTTATTCTTTGTTTTCTTGAATCCTGAACTATGATTTATGGTTTGAGTTTTTACCTTACCTTAGAAAGTATGAAGTATTCACATTAAGATAAGGTTGAATTCAAGTTGGAGAGAGAAATGTTTATGTGCTTGTGTGTATTACTATGAGGTTGAGAAAGAAAGATAAAAAGAAACAAAAAAAGAAAGAAAAAAAATGAAAAATAAAAATAAAAATAAAAGTTTTGAAAAACAAAAATAAAAAGAGTTCGAATAATATTGTGATAATAAGTGATGTGTGTTGGTTTGAAATTTGGAATGAAGAGGAAGTTTGATTGAAATTATTTTTCTTAAGTCTTTGTAAGTTGATCACTCCCTTAGGTTTAGGCAAGTTTTTGTTTCGATTAACTTTAGGACTTATCCCTTGTTTGTTAACCAAGCCACATTACAATCTTAAAAATCCCTTGTGATTCTTGCCTTTGTCATTTCAATATGAGTTTTTGGATGAATGCATAATTTAGTCTATTATTTACAAGATTGTGGATGACTGTTTTTGGTCCCTCACCTTTGTGTGTTCTTCATCTACTAATGAATTTTTACTAGGTGTAATTCATGATTGAGCTTGTTTTGTTTTAGAATGTTTAGTATGATTTTTGTACTTAGGATTCGTTTTATTTACATTTGTCGTTGTAGGATTGTGGTAAGTATTTACCTTACGTGTGTGTTTTTGTTTGAATCATACATTTGTTTTCCGTTTTAAAACTTTTTGATTCATGATATTTTGGTTGATTACTTTTGGTTCTTTGAGTTGTTTGGCCTTGTTTGAGGTAAAACAAGTTCAAGTTGGGGAGAGTTTGATAAGTGAA